CTTCAGTCTTGATAAACAAAGTGTGCTCGTATGAACATTGCTCAAAGCCTTCCCTGATGAAGTATGCCTCTATTCTGCTGAACCAAGCTCGAGGAGCTTGCTTTAGCCCATACAGTGGTTTCTTTACCTTGTAGACTTTGTTCTCCTCTCCCTTCTTCTTTTACCCTTCAGACTGAACAACAAATACATCATCTTCTAGCTCTCTATGTAAGAAAGCTCTCTTCACATCAAGTTGAAAAACATTCCATTTTCTTCGTGCAGCTAAGGCTAAAACCATTCTGATGGTATCCTACCTAGCCACCGGCGTAAATACTTTAGTATAATCAATCTCATGTTGCTATGTATACCCCTTTGCCACAAGTCGAGCTTTAAACTTGTCAACCACTCCCTTCTCATTGAGCTTTGTTTTGTAGATCCATTTCACTCCTATCTTTCTAGCTCCAGTTGGCAAGTCAGTCAAGCTCCATGTATCATTCTTCTCAATTAAATTCAGCTAGTTTTCCATTGCTTCTCTCCACTTTATACTCTTTGCTGCTTCCTTATTAGAACTTGGATAATCGGCTGAGGTATATAAGACCATATTTTGCATTTCTTCCTCCACCGAAGATCCTTCACCCGTGACATAGTCTTGCATCCAGTTTGGTGGTTTCCTATCCCTCCCTTCATGTGGAACAGGTGCATTAGCTGAACTATTCAAAGATAAACTAGTGTTTCTTTCTTCATTGGATTGAGCAGCTTCTTCACTTTCTTTTTCACCGTCACCATACATATCGTGTTCCTCTTCATCATCACCCTAACTGAGTACATTATTCTTCTCTTCATCTTCACTTCTGCCCCAATCCCACCTTTCATTTTCTTCAAAAAACACATCTCTACTAACTACAATCTTCATTGTTGTTGGTTCGTACAACGTATAAGCATTTGAACCCTCGCCCAACCCTAGCAGTACACACTTCATACTCTTCTCCTCCAGTTTAGTCCTTTTGTTATCAGGAATGTGCACGTGCCCTATACATCCGAAAACTCGAAAGTGCTCCACGGCTGGTTTGTTCCCACTCCATGCTTCCTTAGGAATCACATCTTTGACAGCTTGAGTCGGACTTCAATTAAGAACATGGACTATCCAATTGACTCCCTCTGGCCAAAACTCCTTTGGCATCTTCTTCTCAGATAAAGTACTCTCAACTAGGTTCATAATGGTCCTATCTTTCGTCTCAGCAACTCCATTTTGTTGAGGGGTAAACGCAACAGTAAGCTGTCTTTTAATCCCATTTGTAACGCAAAATTCATTAAATTCCCTGAAGGTGAATTCTCCACCCCTATCTGTACGGAAACAACAGACATATGCCCCAACTTCTTTCTCAAAAAGTACTTTGAATATTTTAAAATAAGAAAATGTCTCACTTTTCTCAGACAAAAAATACACCCAACACTTTCTAGTATAATCATCGATGAAAGTGACCATGTACCTTTTTGTTTCTATTCGATTCAGGCTTCACAGGTCCACACAGGTCTGCATGAATTAGCTGTAGCCTTTGAGTGGCTCTCCATAGGTTCTTCTTCGAACCCTGTGTTGTTTCCCAACTAGACAATTTTTACATAGCTTTGCCGGAGCTTGGATGGGAGGCAAACCCTCCACCATCTTTTTGTCAGTTAGAGTTCTCAACCCTTTGTAACTGAGATGACTAAAAGAACAGTGCCATAGTTGAGCGTCATCGTCACTGGTGGCTTTGAAACAAGCTGAATCTCTCGCTACAAGTGTAGCTAGTATCACATACATTTGGTTAGCTGTCATGGAAGTTTGAGTTATTAAACCTCAGCTAGGATGAAATATTTTGCACATTCCCTGATGAATTAGTATGGCCAACCCTTTCTCTTGCAATTGCCCTATGCTCAATAAATTGTTTTTGAGCTCAGGGATGTAAAAGACTCCACTGATTACTTGAGTTATTCCACCAAGATGCATCCTAACATTCCCTTTTCCCATAACAACCATCTTAGAATTATTTCCAAGTTTAACAGAATGTATAAACCTTTCATCCAAATCTAAAAACCAAACCTTATTACCACTCATGTGGTTACTACAACCAGAATCCAAGAACCATACCTCGTCTCTGGTTGAGTTGTGAAGCTCAACATGAGACATGAGATCCAATTTGCATAGTTGGCATTCTTATCTTATTTAGAGCATTCATACTGAAAATGCCCTAACTAGTGGCTGAATATCGTAAGATACTACCGGGAGTTGAGTGCTTGTCTGCCTCGGCCTCTTCCTCTACCTCTATAACCTCCACGAGCTCTACCTCTTCCTCCAAATCTGTCTTCCTCCCTTGCTCCAAGCCTCTCACCACCTGTAATCTTTAGAGCTTGCTCCTCACCACTATTCTTTCGGAACTTCTGTTCATGAACAAGTAATGAACTCTGCAACTCATCCATAGAAAGACAATCAATGTCTTTCGACTCCTCTACAGAACACACAATGTAATTGAACTTCTTAGTGAGAGTGCGCAATACCTTCTCGACAATTTTTACATCCTGCATATTTTCTCTAGCATTCCTCATGTCATTGGCTACCACCATCACCCTTGAAAAATAATCAGTGACAGACTCACCCTCCTTCATTTCCATAATCTCGAATTCCCTGCGAAGGGTTTGAAGTTGCGCACGCTTCACTCTGATGTTCCCTTGATATTTTGTCTTCATGGAATCCCATAGTTGCTTGGATTTGTTTTTCCGGGTGATAGTCTTCAAAATGGACTTGTCGATTGCCTGGAAAAGGTAGTTTTTTTTCCTCAGATCCTTCATCCTTACTTTATGCTAATAAGGTCCTAGTTTTTTTGCTTATGTATGATTGGATGAACAAACTGTGGCTTTGTATAGCCTTACAAATGTACAACCTCATGGCCTAAATCTGTGGTGAAGTTGTTTTAGAATAATTCAAAGTCTATCCTAAGTCCTAAGAACTAGGACCTTATTAGCATAAAGTAATACACCACTAACTAATCATGCTATGTCCTAAATACATAGTCAACAAGTAAATGAAAGCTCCAACAATAATTGCTATAGATTTTGATATTTATACATAATCAGGGACATACTAAAATCTATTAAGCCCCCGTTTGACACTCATTAATTTCTCATTCTCATTTTTAATTTCAACCACACATTCTCCAAATAAACTAATATTACACACAAATAAAAAACTTTTCATTACTTTTCCATCACACATTCTCACATTAATCACTATTCCCAAAATTTCCATTCTCCTCAAAATTATATTCAAGCATACCCTAAATTACATCAAATTAAAGAAATCTTTAAAAATCTATTGAAGACATCTAAATTTTTAAAGAATCTATTAAAATTTCAAGTTGAAAACTAAAGAATCTATTAAAATTCAAGTTGAGGATACCTAAATTTTAATAAATTCTATTAAAATATTTTTTTTCTCAAAAGTGTAAATTATGAAGTTTTGTATTGCTCATCGTTGCACGAGTGAAGACACTTGAGAAGAACCCTCATTTTTTTTTTAAAAAAAATTCTTGTTCTAATTAGATTGTGGTCGAATATGTCAGGGAATTGTTTGTTTATTTTTGTTTTGTTTCACAACTAGGGCTATAGTATTGCTTCATTTGCATTAGCCACGGTCAAGAAAGTGTTTATGATCGATCTCTATGCACGACCCTAATCAAAAATCAAGACGAAAGTAGTTTTCATCGATGTTGATTATGGCACTTGTTGCTCGACTATCACAGATAATCCCGTTCTTTTGTTTTTATGAGAAACATATTAGACTTTGTTAATCAATTATCAATTACAAAATCAATATTCTAAACTTAATTTTGTTTTAAAGAAATCAGGGAATCGTGCAATGATCAAATCTTTTTAGTTCTAATATTCAAAATCGCATGTTAATTGGTATATTACTGATTTTTATAGCTGTTGCGTGGGTTACAAGTTTGTTAGCTAAAAACTAGAGAAGTTTTAATGCAGTTTACAAATTTATTTTATTTATTCCAAACTTTGTCTATATTTGTTTATAACTTGTTCAACACGTAACTGATTCAAAATACTTCTTAATTTGTTTGAATCTCTACACTATAAATAGTAATCTTTACTAATTTTCCATTATAAATAGTTAAACATATAAAAGTATCCATAATTAAAACTACCAAAAGTAACTCTTTCATCTAAAAAAATTTAAAATTTTATCTTTTACGTCTATCTTTCTCGTAAATTAATTTATCAATTCAAGCTTTTTCGATACACTATTAACTTGACAATTTTTATTTTTATTTATTAGACAACTGTATATTTTTATCAATAAAGCTCCAACCTCAAATTAAAATAAATAAGAAATTCATTTTGAAATGCAGAATAATAAAAAATCATATATTATTTTACTTGATTTTTTATTTTTATTTTCATTTTTAACTCAACTTATTTATTGGATGATGGAAATTAATAATTACTATTGTAAAGGTTTCAAATCAAGTTTTTGCTATTTTTTTTTCTCCGACAAATCATTGATTTATTAAAATTCATTTTCATTATGTGTCTGGACTATAGTTGAACTTATGTTTGATTCTTAAAACTTTGGGATTTTCCAATAGGAATGGTGAAATATCCGTCCCAGCCTCGACTCGATTCTCCAATGGTATGTGAGTTCCCCGTTTAGTTTTGGTAAATCGAACTGGGATGAATAATATATTCCACTTTTCGAAAATTCCAACTGGACAAAAGTTGATGGTCGGAATGATTTTCAAAATATTAATTATTATCCAAATTAATAGTATTTCTTTTTTTCGTAATAAAATTTCCTTCCTCCCCAAGAAATTACTCAAAATCAAAACAAGAAAATGAATTATTTTTGGCCAAGTAAACTGTAAAAATCCTATTCTCACGCAATTCCATTCACACAATACGTATATATACTCACACGCACCTATCTCCTTTTACCAGTTCTTTCTTGCACATTTTTCTCACACTCGCACATAATCATGGACACATCAATTAACACACTAGACTCATGCAAGCCCGCCAGCAACGACGTGGGGTCTCTCTCCGGCAACGGCACCGTTTCCACGATTGAGTCCCACATTCCGGCGGTGGTCGCAGCCCCCGACGCCACCCTCGGCCGCCACATTGCACGGCGGTTTGTCGAAATCGGAATCGAGGATGTATTCTCCGTTCCTGGTGATTTCAATCTCACCCTCCTTGATCACCTCATTGCTGAGCCAGGGCTTAACAATATTGGTTGCTGCAATGAGCTCAACGCCGGTTATGCTGCTGATGGATATGCACGTGCTCGAGGAGTCGGCGCGTGCGTTGTCACGTTTACTGTTGGTGGTTTGAGTTTGCTCAACGCCGTTGCCGGTGCTTACAGTGAGAATCTGCCGGTCATTTGTATTGTCGGAGGGCCTAATACTAATGATTATGGGACTAACAGAATTTTACATCATACAATTGGATTGCCTGATTTCAGTCAGGAATTTAGGTGCTTTCAAACCGTAACGTGTTATCAGGTAAATTGGGTTGTATAATTCTTCAATCCTATCGATGATCTTATAAATCTATGATAAGTTCCAGCTGACCTTTTGAATCATTTTATGTATGCATTTTCATGAAACGTGTTTATGTGGGAGTTAAATTGGCAATGATATAAAATACTTCTTTTTGTGCTATTTCAGAATTTAAGAACGCAATAAAATAAAGAAGATCATGTATAAGAAGATTTGAATTGATTTTGATCTTTCTTATGATTTATTGTCAACAGGCTCTTGTGAATAACTTGGATGATGCACATGAACAAATTGACACAGCCATTTCTACAGCACTAAAGGAAAGCAAGCCAGTGTACTTAAGCATCAGTTGCAATTTGCCGGGAATCCCTCATCCCACTTTTGCCAGAGAGCCCATCCCATTTTCCCTCTCACCAAGGTATTTATACCTATAATATCCTCCTGATGTGTTTGGTATGTTGAATGGACGGGATAATTGACAAATTAACTATATCACGCCTCCCTTACTTAATAGTGTCAAGTCATTTTCTTTTAAATAAGTTTTAAAAGCCCATTTGGGCAGGTTTATGTTCATCTTTTACCTTTATTATTGTTTCTATGTGGCTCCTTAAGGCTGAAGAGCTATACTGGACTTGGCTTGCTCATTTAAAAACTTCATATAATATGCTACCTTTACTTCAGACTTCATCTAGTGTGCCCGAATAATCCCTTTATATATAATTTCTCGAATTTTCAAATTATTACACATTTGAAATTTGATTTAATAGACCGGATTACCCAAAATTATATCACAGATTAAGCAATAAGAGGGGGCTCGAGGCAGCAGTAGATGCAGCAGCAGCCTTCCTGAACAAAGCGGTGAAGCCAGTGATCATTGGGGGGCCAAAACTGCGGGTTGCAAAGGCGTGTCAAGCATTTGTTGAACTGGTTGACGCATGTGGATATGCAATGGCAGTGATGCCTTCGGCCAAAGGGCTCGTCCCCGAGCAGCACTCTCATTTCATTGGCACTTATTGGGGTTCAGTAGGAACTGCATTCTGTGGTGAAATTGTGGAATCTGCTGATGCGTATTTGTTTGCTGGACCAATCTTTAATGACTACAGCTCTGTTGGATACTCCCTCTTACTCAAGAAGGAGAAGGCGATAATTGTGCAGCCCGACCGTGTTGTTATATGTCATGGCCCAACTTATGGTTGCGTGTTAATGAAAGATTTCCTTCGCGAATTGGCAAAGAAGCTTAAGCGTAACACGACTGCTTATGAAAATTATAAGCGTATTTACATTCCGGATGGACTTCCTCTCAAGAGTGAGCCTAATGAGCCTCTGAGAGTGAATGTTTTGTTCCAGCATATACAGAAAATGCTGTCTAGTGAAACCGCTGTCATTGCTGAGACGGGGGATTCTTGGTTCAACTGCCAGAAGCTAAAATTGCCAGAAGGATGCGGGTAGGTAGCAAAGTACATATCAATTTTGTCTTCAATTACAAAAATTAGAGGGTCAAAAGTTTGTGTTGCAGGTATGAATTTCAAATGCAGTATGGATCGATTGGATGGTCCGTTGGTGCTACACTAGGCTATGCCCAATCTGTACCCCAACAACGGGTGATTTCTTGCATCGGTGATGGAAGCTTTCAGGTTCGCTATTTGAATATTCAAGATTTGGGGTCAGCTTGAAAACTTATCATAGCCCTTCTTCATTGAGATATATTGTTATCTTTGCAACTTTAGGCCGAGCAAAGTGTGGAAACTAATGAATTTTGTGAGTCCATGATATTTTTTGCAGGTGACTGCACAAGATGTGTCGACAATGATTCGGTGTGGCCAAAAGAGCATAATTTTCTTGATCAACAATGGTGGATACACCATAGAAGTTGAAATCCATGACGGGCCATACAATGTGATCAAGAACTGGAACTACACTGCATTAGTTGATGCTATTTGCAATGGGGAAGGCAACTGCTGGACCACAAAGGTTTATATGCTCGATTAATAAACAGTTAAACATTTAACGAATCGGTCCTTGGGCAATCAAAAAGTCCCATGGCCTAAGACACGACCTCTATTGCACGTCTAAGATCTGCCTAAGTGGCCGATTCTTGTTCACAAGGGTCCACATTAACTTTGTTACGTTGTATGTTGTAGGTACGATGCGAGGAGGAGTTGATGGAAGCTATTGAAACGGCAATAGGAGAGAAGAAAGATTGTTTATGCTTTATAGAAGTGTTTGCTCATAAGGATGATACCAGCAAAGAGCTTCTTGAGTGGGGATCTAGAGTTTCTTCAGCTAATAGCCGTCCTCCTAATCCACAGTGATTTTTTTTTCTTTCTAAAATTCATAATCCCAAATTCTAGGGTTTATGTTAGCTTTAGAAACTTCAATTTTGGGTCTTAAGGACATGTTTACATTGTTTGATTTCAATATTTTCTAATGTGATTTCTATTATTGTGTTATTGAAATGAATATTTTTCTTGTCCAAGCTTATCGTTAGCGAAAGATGAGGAATGAAGGAAGTATTTGAAAACTTTTTTTCGGTGTTGGTGTGTAAAATTATTTTATTAGGAAAAATATAGTTAAAAATAAATTTGAGAAAATACAAGTTTTAAATGAGTTGTGTCGAATAAATTTAAACCTGGTAAAATCATTATTTTACGACATCAAAGTAAGATTAAGGCACCGTTTGGTAACCATAATTCTAGAAAAAAATGCATTCTTTGTGTCAAATCACACTTTTTTTGTGGTTGAAAATGAAGGAAAAGTTATTGATGTGATGGAAAATATTATTTTATTGACGAATGTGTGGTTGAAAATTAGTAGAAGAATGAGAATGAAAAAAAGAATGGATACCAAACAGAGGCTAAGTAACTTAACCTAAGACTGACATTTATGTCAAGTAAGACCAAACAAGGTATACTTTTCCTAAATTATTCTTCTTGTACCTTGTGAGGGGCCGGTCGGGGGGTTGTATACCCCCGTTACAAATAGCAGCTCTCACTTTTCCTTCCAACTTTCAACTCTCGGAATACACTTTTCCTCCTCAAACATGCCGGGTCCAGGTCCGCACATGATGTACGCACTCGGGTCGGGTCAGGCGCTGATGAGCATATCGAACGGGCGGTTCAGCCCGCAACACTGCATCTTTTACGCCATTAACGCCTTCTTCGGACCCGACATGGGTTCCTTCGCCGAGTGGCTCACTTCAACAATCGGCTTGGGTCGAACCTTCGGATCATCTATCGAACCTTGGATCCATGACCCGTTTTACTATTGTCTCATTCTGGGCTTCCCTTTGTCGGTGTTCTACAGTTGGGCATCCAGATTTTTCCTTCACAAGGGCATTCTCGATTCCTTTTCTGGGGTCAGTATGTACACTAATAATGCTAGTTAAATAATTTATAATTTTTGGAATTTAAAATTTTCGTGCATTTAGAATGATTCGAAATTTAATTCCCCTCTTGTTGATTAGGAATTTGAATTTTTTCCTCTGGAACTGCAATTACTACTGTCTAGTGTTTGATCTGATATATGAAGCCACAACTATAATTTGGATCAATGTGTATATAGGGTAATTCAAATTTAATTGTAACATGTTTGCCTAGGCTTAAGAAGCCTATTTATAGGTATACAAGCGCAAGTTTTACATTTTTTCCCCTTTAAAGCACAGTAAAATGTAAGAGGGAAAATGCTAGACACAAAATAAATTGTGTTACGATGTGTATGTTAAAATACGAGAAACTATAATACGATTGAATTAAGATGTTGTAGGAGATGCGTATATCTAGACAATTGGCTAAATTTTGGATAAACTAGCTAGCTTGAAGATGCCGTTGAATACTTGGTTTCTTAGACTTTAGAACTTGAAAAGTTCCAGTTCATTTAATTAGTTATATCTCTTGCTTGGAAGTGAGATGAAATTGGTGTTGGATAAAACTAGCTTGCGGTATTGATGTACTTTCCCTTCTAATTTTACATCAAATGTAGTAGTTTATTTTAAACAAGAATAGCAATTTAATTGGTGATCAGTTTTACTTTATAGCAGTTGTTTGTGTTTCTACATTTAACTTATAAAAATTTCAAGTAGTTTCTCAATAAGATTTACTATTATTCTTATATGATTCCTAAACTTAGTGCTTGTTTGGTTTAAATTATAATTTCAAAACTTCAATTTTTACCACACTTTTCATAGAACTGACACCTACTGCCTACTTATCCAACATACATTTCTATGAATTAATAATTTCAGCAACTTATAATTTCTCCCAAACAAGCACGTAAGTAGATATGATTAATCTAATTAAAGCAGTTCAAATTGGCTGAATAATGTAATGGGGAGATTAGAAAGTAAAACTCATATTTTAGAGTGTGCAGTCTTACTAGCATGCTGATGTAGTACATCACAACTGCAATTAATAGTTTCACTTTATTTAGGAGTTTGTCTTTTTTAAATTATCTTTTCTAATTTCCTTTTCTAGTTATAATAGGTTTATTTTTAAATCTTGTTTAGATTATGATTAATCTATTTCCTTTTAGAATTTAGTTTCCTTATTTTAGTTTCCTTTTATTAATAGGATTATGGACAATTTTGCCTATAAATATTGGGGTATTATACACTTTTTAATCAATCAATCATATATTANGCAACGACTAGAAGGGATGGATGAAGCTCGTCGCAATATCACGCAGAAGCTAACTGCGATGACTATTGAGAAGCATCATGCACCAAGGGCAGAACAGACGAGCAGACAGAAAAACGTACAGAGAGATATCAACTTAGATTCTGATAATTGGATAGAAGATGCTAACCTGAATGTAAGAAATCATGGGGTTCCAGCAAGGAGAGAGATGCGCCCTATTACCCAACCCCACGTCGACCCAGGTGTGGGGGAAGGACGCCGGCCCCTTGCGGATGATCGACTTTGCCAGCAGAACCTAGAAATCCATGATCGAGTTGCCTAGTGCACGAACCCAGTCGCGAATCGTGACCCTTGCGAGGCTGCCCGTCTACGGTTCTACAAGCGAAAAAACATGCGAGATAAAGGCGACCTCCGGCGAAGGGTTCCAATGGGCGGCGACGAGGAGTTCAGTGACCTATCGTGAGCTCTAACGAAAAATCTTGAGCGAGTGTCAGAGATGCGATTTGATTTCAAGGAAGGAATCAATTTTGACCCACACAACTTTGACTGATATTATAATGTTGACCGAGGAGTTAATTTTGATCAAAATCCTAATTTTCAGCCGAGAGCTAGAGGCTTTCAACAAAGAAGGCCACGGAGTTTCAACTATTCATCCAAAGAAGAAGATACTTTTCGACCAATGACTAATAATTAGGGTACAAATGTTCAAAAATTTAAGATGGACTTGCCAAGTTTTGACGGCCAATTAAATATTGAAGATTTTTTGGATTGGATACATACCGTCGAAATTTTTTTCAACTATTTGAATATCTCGGAACAAAGCCAAGTTAAGCTCTTGGCGTATAAATTAAAGGGTGGAGCTTCGGCATGGTGGGAACAACTTCAATTTAATCGTCAATGACGAGGAAAACAACATGTGCAAACTTGGCCCAAGATGAAACGGTTATTGCAAAGACGATTTCTCCCCCCAGATTATGAGCAATTTTTGTACCAGCAATATCAGAATTGTCGACAGAACAATCGAACAGTAAACGAGTACACAGAGGAATTCTATCGTTTAAATGCCCGAGTTAATTTGTCTGAAACAGAAGCTCAATTAATTGCTCGATATATAGGAGGCCTAAAATTAGTCATTCAAGATCGACTAGCTCTTCAAGAGGTTTGGACCATGACGATGTAGTCAATTTAGCAATGAAAGTGGAAAATCAGATGAAT